TTGAACAACCTTAATTATAGGCAGCACTCTGCCTATAATATACATTTGGCTACCTATCCAGAAATCTGTAGTCCAGCAGACAGAGCACTGGATTAGCACTTCCCCTGGCCTGCTGGGTGACCTTGTGCAAGTCACTTTACCTCTCTGTGCCTCATTTTTCCAGTTGGGAAAATTATATCTCCTTTGTATAGTGCTTTGAGGTCTACTGCTGAAAAGTACTACATAGGATCTAGGCATTATTATTAAATAATTTAATTAAGGTGTAAATGTTTTTACAAAAAATAAACTAAGAAACAAACTGGCATGGAAATGAGATGAGAGGTTCCATTTTTCCTCATAGAGACTCAAAACTGCTTCTGTAATTAAACTTTGTTCAAGGGTTCCATTGGATTAACTACAGCAATGGTCCACTCAGAACATTTTCTTATGTGCAGCTAAATTCACAGAACATCACTATTTATAAATTTGTGCTAATCCCTGCAAGACCAGTATGCACAAAGAAATGCAAACTTTGCAAATGCTTTTAGATACCACACTAATGAATAATTTTGAGGCACAAAGAGAAAGAAAAATAGGCATAGCTGGAAAATACATTCAGCAAGCTCCAAGCAAGCTGCAAATGCTGATATATTTGTGGACAGACAAGGGCTTCTTTAATTAACACAAATGTTAATGAATGAATGCAAATAAAAAAAAATCAAAGAATCACTGCAGCAAATTGTGAATGATGTATGAATGGTAAAACCCTTCCCAATGCACAGAGAGAAAAAACAAACAGCACTCTGCAATCACTGCTGTGATGGGCTTTTTGCTGTAATTTTTGCCCGAGATGCACCCAATAAAGCTCTCTATGCCTAAAACAAAACCCAAATAAAAAGATTTACTTGCATTTATTGCAATATTTTCCCTATATTATTTTCCTTTTTCTCTGTCTCAGATACAGTTATTTCTAGCTTTCTGCTAGCTAACATCTTTTAAAACAGCATTTCTATATACACAGACTCACCCCAAGGTTTAAAGTGGACAGGGTCCTGCAGGGTTGTAATCCCAGCCCACCCGGAATGACCTCTGAGGTGGGCTGACTGGTGGTAAAAGGGGTTATGACAGAACTGAGTCTGAAGCAGAGCTCTCTGACTGCTAAAAAGGGAGCACAGTGTCAACCTTCCTCATCCCAGGCTATTTTTACATTTTATGCTCTTTTCGAGACACGATGCTAATAGAAATAATGTCATATATGGGATGTATGGAGGTACATGCACCGGGAATGGGTTTCAGGTTAGAAATAAGTTGTATGGATTTCTTTTGGTTTGTCTTCCAATTTTAACTTTTAGGCATAGTAATACCACTATTTGCCACTCGAGGATCAGCACCACACCACTCCTAACTCCACGTCTATCTCCAGCTAGCTTTTAAGCAGGCTGATTAAGGTGTTAAATTAGACAATATCAGTCTGGATATCCACTCTGCTTCTGCTGCCTCGTATTAAAACGAGTTTTTCTGCCACCCTCAAATGAAGCACTAATATTACATATTTTAATTAATGGCTCAAGCAGTGAACTTTTGTTACAAAATAAAGCAATCCCATTATTGGGCAGAACCCTGAACTCTGACCTATTCAAAAGAATTTCAAATTAGAAATAATTTAAATAATTTATGTAAAAGTGTATTAAAATATGCATTTGGTACACATGAAATTAAGGGACTAGTAGCATTTGCTAGAATAAAGAAAAGTACAGATTCATTATAAATGTTTCACCATGAAACTCTGTCAATGCACCTCAAACATGACAAGAAACATTCTCTTAGTTCTTGGTCGCAGTGCTGCCAACTGTATGGAAAGTTGCTAGGATGCTATAGTGACACTTGGGTTAGAGTATTAGCTTTTCAGTTCTGGGAACCTGAGTTCATATGCTAACTAGCGGTTTAATCCTAGTCCTTAAAGTCCATACACACAACTAACCCACCACCTAATCTATCTTTTATGAAGTTTCTAAAATATCTTTGGTGTGACCCAAGAATCCCATAGTGCCAACAGGAATGGAGGTCAAGCAATATCTTGATTGTGGTACGTACATTGTGGTTCATCAAAGAATGTCATATGAAGTCTTAATGGAAAACCAGGGGTAACAATGGTCATCAATATCTTCGTGAAAGGTATGTATAGGTATTATGTAAGCAGTCATGTATATATACTGACATTATTTTTTTAAAGTCTGTATCAAGATATTAGTCACTAGCAGAGGTGAGGAACGGGTTTTCTTCCAGACAGGAGATAAGAAATGTACAGCTCTCTGCTGGAATGTAAATTAAGCATTGTATGCACAGTGGATGCCCATTTACATATGAAGTCAGATGTTAAAGATGTGACATCAACAAGAAAGCAATACACAAAAACAAAAAAAACAAGCCACAGGTGGTTATCCTGTCCCTGAGGACAGACCGTGAACTTTGGAGATATATGTAGGCAGGGAAACAGACACCTCTTCATCCTGCACCTACAAAATAAATGGATAGCCCGCTTACATTCATCAGAAGGGGATCTCAGCCAACCTTGGCTGAAAATGCTCTAAAAGACTTTGGGTGAGATAAAGCTTCTTTAGACAGGAGGTTAACCTGTTAGCTAAATTTAGTCTCTAGAAAGTGTGTTATAATTTTGTTTCATATGTAACCATTTGTTTCCAATATCCTTACTCATGATTGCTTGAATCTTTGATAATAACTTACTGTTTTCATTATAAACATACCTCAGTGTTGTGATATTAAACCAAAGTGCTGATCCTGAACTGAATCTCACAAGCTGGTGTGTTTTGTTCCTTTCAGAACAGCAGGCCTACTAGTTCTATGAGGAGCCAGTGTCAGTGGCTGAATAACCAAGAGAAATGCTTCAAAGGGACTGAGGGACTGGGGTGCACCTACTGTTAAACTGCAAAGCAAAGTATGTGCTGGCACACCCCAGAGCAAAGGGCTTGAGTGACTGACAGGCTGGTGGTATTCAGGAGCTGCCACCCAGCCAAACACAATCAAGATTCCCTCATACTAGAGGTTGCGGTTACAAAGGTGACTCTCAGTCCTGGATACCCAGAGAACCATCACACTGGGTTGTCTTTTCTGAAGGGATTTTCTTCCCAGCTCCTAAAATAGGGTGCCCTCCCAGTGCAACATTATTTATACAACTGTCCTCGGCTTCATTTCCCAGGGCTTCTACTTCCTCCCCACTCAATAAGGCAAAGAATTACAGGAGGTAGGAGAAAGAAGAGAGAACCTGGTTAGGACTGAAACTGTAGTTCCTAAGTAGTAAGGTGCTGAAATCTGCATCACAAAGTTCTTTTTATATTTTATCCCAGTACAACTTTCCTCCCCCTTCTTTGAATACTCCCATATCACAGCAGCTCTGCTCTTGCCAGGGGATCTTGACATGGCTCCCTCCAAAGTCCCATCAATATTATTGCTGAATAGTCATCAGTAATTGCTACTGAGCAAAATGAGGTTCCTCCCTTTTTTCAGGCCAAATTCTGCTTTCAGTTACATCACTCAAATCCACCAGAACTGTATTGTTCTCAGTGGAGTTACTGTGGATTTGCACAACTGTAACTGAGAGCAACATTTGACTTCCCTTCTTCACCGAATGTGTACTTCCTATGCACTGCGTCCTTGCTGACTTCGCATCTCTTTGTTAACATCTGACTTCACAGGTAAATGGGCATGCATTGTGCTTACAATGCCTTCTTCACAGAATGAGACTGAGATCAATATTCAAATTTGAATCTCCCACATTGAAAGATGTATTGTTAGTGTATTCCTGCTCAACAGATCATAACGTTGCTCCAATAGTTGGAGACAACATGAAATGATTACTGGTAGTGCCGTAAAGTCAGAGAGAGATCACATTACAGAGGGTATAGTCTACAAGGCAGTGGTCACAGTAATAATACTGGCAGAGGGCAGAGCTTCTCCCCAGCTTCTAAAGACTTGCCACCATGCCCAGTCTCCTTTAAGAAGGTTTATTCTCTTAAAACAGGCAACTGAAAATACAGAAAAACAGTCTTTGACCTCACTCCTTTTCTCTCAGGCTTCAGGGCCACCCCACCCAGGATCCTGTGCAGTTTCCTTGCTCTAGCCAACTCTGTGCCCTTCTTGGAGCAGTAGCACCAGGACTGCATTCCTCAACACCTGGCCTCTTGCTCCAGGGACCCACCAAAGGAGTTAGCGCCACTCCTCCATGACTTCCCTTCCCCAGGCACAGCCTGTCCCAATACTCCTTTCCACCTCCCATTTCCTGTCCACTGCACGCCCAGGTGTAGCACCGCCCTCTTTAATTGGCTGGGTTTAGCTGACCTACTTTGACATAGAGGAGCTAGGCCTACTTCTACGCACAGGGACCAGTCACCCTGTGACAAATACTTAGTATTTGCATAGCATGTTATATTTTCAAAGTACTCTACAGACATGAATTAACTAACCCTACAATGACCCCATGCAGTTGCTGAGTAACTATTATCCCTATTTTTGAGTTAGGGAAACTAAGGCAGGAAAGTGAAGTGACATGCTCAAAGCCACGAAGTTAGTCAGTGTAAAAGCAGGATTAGACTCTAAGATCTCTTGACCACTATAAGTGGTAGGTTCAGTAAGTAGTCAGAAGTTTCATGGAATGGGAACAAATAATAGCTTATCATCCCTCAAAATTCAAGACACTTTATCCCAGTGTATGGCCACTAGAGGAAAGTAAAGACGTGAAATAAAAATTATACTTTCAAATAAAACCAACTCTTGCTCTATAAACTGCATTATTTCCAACATGGAAAGCCTAAAGAAATGCTCAATAATAATGCAAATGGAAATATGACTAGTGTATTCTTTTCCTATGGCAACATTTTGAAGCTGATTTTTACACAGCATATTTTACATTTCCTGATGCTCTGAAAGTCAATTTATGCAGAAAAAGACAGCAGCTAGGCATTTGCTTATTCCATTTTCCATTGCAGTAAAGATTTGTATCTTACTTTTTCTGAAAGCATCTTTAAAGAATTCTTCAAGCTGTCTGGAGAATGCTGGCTTGCAGAATTAAGCAGCAGGTCTGCATGGCTTGATACGAGGGGCTGTAGATGATTGATGTTGCTGAGAACTTCTTTTGCCTTGGCTGTGTTTTCAGGTGAATAGTAAATACACTGGTATCCAGTACTGTAATAACAAATGTGGAGACAGTTATAGAATGTCATAAATCGTTTCCACTGTAAATAGCCAGACGGTTAACTGTGCACAAGATACAAGTTCTCTCTATTTCTATCACAAGAATGGTAGGTATTTTAAGCTTTACTATACACCTTTATTGACACTATTTAAATCTGTCTTCCTGATAGGCTAAAAAGCAGTCCCTGCTGGAACAAGGACAGGAGACGACTTCATCGATGAACCTCCAGATAGTGTTATTTAAACTAACTAGTCCCATGGTGCTCTGAAGGATGATTATGCCAAGCGAGGGGTGGGGGAAAAGAAAATCCTGGAATTTTTATTTTTTAATTGTGGAAAAAAAAGGTTTATATTACTATTAATGGCATGTTCAGAGATCCACACTGGTTGGGTAATAAGAACAAGCATTAGGCTCCCTAGATTTTCATCTTAACTCCTCTAGTAGGTTATTACCTATCTGGTGAAGTTCTCCAAAATGTGTCATTAACGCTTAATTGATCAAGGGCTCATAATAGATTTTGAGCAGCAGCGGAGATCTGCCCACAAAATGATAAGGACAGGAGTTCTTTCCAATGAAAAGGGTCACATGTCTAATTTCACTAGACAAGTGAAGGCATAGAACCAGGGGAGAAAAGACTAAGGAAAAGGGAGGAAATTAATTGTTGCTAAAACACTCAAATGCCCCACCACAAACTCACTGATTTCCTTTTTCATTGTTTACAGACTAGGTGTATTGATGCCTTGAGTCTCCTGCTGAAATTGTATTCCGTTTCCTTTCCTAACCAAGCACCATCCTCTTTCATTTCTTTATTGCCTCTTTCAATCCTTCCAGATTTTCATGTCTTTATCATTTTAGCAATGTACATGTCTATTAGTTCTCTCCCCTACTTCTCCTTTGGTCTGTTGCCTCTTTCCCCTCACCCTCTTGTACAAGATCCTTCCTTTGCCACTCAGAATTATGCTTGAAAGTAAAGCTACCCAAAATCTTTGGTAAGTTTCACACTGCAGCCCTAACTTAACAAAAAGGGACAGAATGCAGCATCTGGGTTCTCTACACTCTGCTCTGCTCCTTTGGGCTCTGTAGCAGAGTTCATTTCACTTTGCTATCCACTCAGCAGAGAGCACACTAGACAGGTGTGGCAAGAGCTAGAGAATTTCAGGATGACAAGGACAGGGGAAAGCTTTGATGCAGGGTGGTTCTAGTAGACTGTAGCTGAACTGTACAGCAAGGTGAGAACTGTAAATATGTGAATAATTATCCACAAACAGATGATCCTTGAATTCACACAATATTTAACCCTCCTTCATGTAACTGGAACTACCAGTTTCCCAAGTGTGCAGGCTCCTGGTATGTTACTGATAACAAAACAGTGTGTACTCTATCTCCCTGGCTGCCACTGTTCATCCTTCTGTATCTCTCTCTCTCTCTCTCTATGTAGCCTTTATTTCTTCCTTCATTTCACTGAACAGGATTTGAACCGTGATTCTCCTGTTTGTTTTTCTGACTCTTATTGCTTTCTCTCATTTCAATTTTCTCTCAGTCCTCTCTTTTTATTACTTTCCCTGTTAGTGCATCTTCCACTGCCTCTATTTCTTGCTGGTTTTCTCTCACTGTAGCCCTGATACAGCAAAGCACTTAAGCACATGTTTATGTCCCATTTAAATCATCCAGATTTAAGTATGCGTAAGTACTTTGCTGAATTGCAACTTGAAATACTGCTGTAATCTGTTCTTCATTTTCTATCTTCCACTGCTGCTTCCCCTCTCAGGCTGTCTTCAGTGCAGAGTTAGCCAGGATGATTAGCACTTGGGTTAGCCTAGCCCAACCGTGAACAGCCACTCCATTGAGCCATACCCAAATTACTGTGTCCTTACCGGTGTTGCACTCAACCATGTGTGTGACTCACTAGGACTTTTGGAGGCAAATCCCATGATTCTTTGTGCTGCAGTAGGCTGAGCTATTCTATGATTCTCTCTTACTTAATTGTGGGAAAACTGGTCTGTCCTTCTGGGCAAACAGAGGGAATTTTGGGAAGGCACTGGAGGTCGATCAGCTCTTATGTGGTTTGATTTGCCATACTTTGAAAGACACCAAACAGCCAAAAATCTTTAGGCTTTCAGAATTTTAAGGTTAACTCTCAGTGACCATAAGAAGCTTTTGGTAAAATTTCAAAGAAATTCAGCAGTTAGTTTTCAGATTCAAAACAATTAAAATTACTCCTTTTGGAGATTTTTGAAGTTTCTAATTTTGTCTCCATATCTGATGAAAAGTCTTCTGAACTTCAAGATTCACCAGAGAAGTCATTTCCATAATTACCTTGTGCCCAGGATATTTTTCAGAATTCAGTTTTCATATACAAATTTCACAAATAGTATTACAGAAAAACTATGCATGAGGCCCTGTCAATAAAGCTGCCGAAGAAACTTTTAAATGACAGGCACTTCAGTACAAAAGCTGAATGCAGGATGTTACAACTGAGACTAAACTTGTGCACTGGGGAAAGGAAATGTTGTGCATGTGAAATCAGATGCAATGTAAAAATATACCCTTGACATGTAAAGTATATAATTAGTGATGTATATGTTGAAAGGGAGTATAATTATGTCTTCTGGATTAGAGTAAAACTGTTTATTGGAATGTATACAATAACTTTCACATAATAGTATTGCTGATAATCAATTATATGCAGATTACCTTACGTGAACATTTCAATTTTTAGATTTTTTTTAATCGCAATGCAGTTGTGGCACAATTTGAATAAAGGTTATATTAATTATTTCAGCACTTTTAACTCTACGTTAACACAGTTTGTTTGGCAAGAAGTACTGCAATATGGTAAATGTCTGGTTCTTAATGGCACTCCACGTAACTCCAACTCTACTCCTGCTGTTAACTGACTAATTTTTGTAATTGAGTTAAATTGCCATCATCTGCAAGGGGGTTAAAATCTTTTAATAATGAACATTTGACCCAGTGTTTCCCACAGTAATAATTGCTGATGTTAAAATGCAGAATTGATAAGGTGTATATTGCATGAAAAACATCCCTCACAAAATAAATGTGAACAAATACATATATGCATATATCACTCTGCCTACCTAGCCAGTGGATTATTGTTTAAACATCACTTATAGTTTCATGGATACAATTTCTAAAATGAAAAGTTATGAGGAAAATTAAATTGATAAAAGTATGGCAAACTTATTGCATCTAGGAAATAAATCTGAATCCTCAAAATCATTCATGGAGGATAGGTCCCTCAATGGCTATTAGCCAGGAGGGGGCAAGGAGAGTGTCCCTAGCCTATGTTTGCCAGAGGCTGGGAATGAGTGACAGGGAATGGACCACTTGATGATTACCTGTTCATTCCCACTGGGGCACCTGGCATTGGCCACTGTCGGACTACAGGATACTGGGTTAGATGGTCAGACCCAGTATGGTCATTCTTATGTTCTTAATCCACTCACCTGGGATTTTCAATCAGATTTTTGGGAGTTGTGTACCCAGCTTCCCCACTGAATTTCACAGGGAGCTGTGCAACTAAGTTCCTTAAGCCATTTTTAAAAACCCCAGTCCAGAATACTAAATCAAACTGAAGAAGAGCTCTCTGTAATCTTAAAAGCTTGTCTCTCTCACCAACCGAAGTTGGTCCAACAAAAGATACTACCTCCCTCACCTTCTCTCTCTAATATCCTGGGACCAACACAGCTATACCACTTCATAAATTAAAAAAAGGAAAATTCTATGTTATAGCTAATCTATCTGTATTTATGAAGTCATCACCATAGGCCATGATCCTCAGATACAGCCAAGGCCAGATTTTGTGGCTTGGAGACGGTAGGGTGCATAGCTTGCTTTTGTGTACCCTTCCATCCCAGTCCCTATCATCACTCAGGCCAGCTTGCTGGCTGTTCTAAGTGTCCTCAGCTGTCAATGGGCCTAAGATGCTTGTTACAGCCAATCATCAGCTAAGTGTAGGACCATTCTGGGTATACTCCCTTTCCCCAGCCCTATGCAGCCTCAGTTGGGCTGCAGGGATAGTGGCACAGGAACTGCTTTGGTGGCTCTACATGACCATAGTTCTGCCTGTTGGGGAGATCCTCTCTCATCCAGGTAATTCCACTTTAGGATTGCTCTGTGTTGGCTGAATGGTGCAAAATGCCCTAACACAGCGGAGAATCTGGTCCATAGTAACTAAGCACAGTTCTCAGGAGAAAAATATTGTGCTTCTATCTCAACCCAAAGCAGAGAGCTAAAGTGTGCCATTTTGGTAAAGTCCTTTATTGGAAAAGTGTGGAACTCCACAACTTTTAGGGGAAGCGTGCATGCTACACCTGTGTTTATAATGAATCAGTGTTCTCTCCTCTCCCTGCCCACTCTTTGTGCTGGCGCAGAAGAGAGGAAAGAGCCATAGCTTCACGTCCTCCATGCCACTCTCCTATCCCTTTGAGGGAATATGAACCGATAGGTCTGCCAAAGGCAGCAGTCTCTGTGCTCTCCCAAGCATAGAGGCTTTAACCATCCGTGGACCTTGGGAGTGTTATCCCTTCTTTGATACACACACCTGTAGAAGTGCCTGTGACAATCTGGCCCATAGAATCTAGTAAACATAAAAATATTTTGATAAGATTTTTACATACCAAATTAATGATTTGGCAAGCTGCTGAGGTTTTCTGGTAAAATTTCCAGTGGATCTGACGCACTAGTTTTATAGTCACTGCAAAAATGTTCATCTCTCTGACTCAAGCACATAAACAAAGAGAGGGAAAGTGAACAAAGAGTAATGTCTCCCTGAAAAGTGCTGTGTGTGACAGGTTGTGATTTCCCTTTGAAAATAAAGGCTACAATTAGATCAAACACAAGTCATTATTATTTCAACATGACTGGGGGTTTCTGTGAAACATTACCATTTCAGACTCCTTAGAGAGTGGAAATGGGTTGAAGGTTATGAGACACAGGTAATAGGAACCCTGAAGATTTTTGTTTTAAT